ATTTGTTTACTCTTCCCTGGAGATTCCATATTATTGGTTGATTTATAAATTGTATTTACAATCTCATTAAATGGAATAATTTAGTGCATTTACTTCTATTTTATTTATGGTGTACATTTGGGAGTCTTTAGTTAACCTAAGTACAGCTTTTCAAATTGGTTATACACCCTTCATTGAAAATATTAAGTACATTCTGGAAGTCTAGACCCATGTGCTGATTTAGTGGGAAGAATAAAGAAATAGAGTGGCTACCTGTAGTATTGCTTTCTTTGCTGTGGAAAATTTTACTCCTTCAGTGGCTGTTTCATAAATATCAATTGACTTTGTCTTGTGGAGACCTGTGGTTTTCAGCAGTGGCACTTTCTAAATTAATAGTGAGAAAATTGAAGTGTTTATGGAGTTTCCAGAGTGAATGTATAATGAAGGTGGCAGGGGACAGGCTCACTTTGATGTTCAGAATCTGGGCCCTCATCTCTCCAACTCTAAGTTTATAAAGTTAAGAATGTGTTTTTTTAAATAAAAAAGAGCACTTTCTCAAACTGAGGTCATTCTTTAGCTTAACTAAAAACAAAGACTTTCTGGATAACTATTTAAAGGAATGTTTTATTGTTCTGGGTGTTAGAGAAAGTCATTTAGCCTTTCGGTGCTGCTTTTAAAGGAAGATGACAAGTTTAACCTCTCTCATAGGGGTTTTGGGAGGAGTACATAATAAAAATGACCCAAATCTCTAGCAAATTTTAAAGTGCTATAAAGTGTTTAATAATAATGAGATTCCCAACAAACACCAAGTTTGGGGCCCTGAAGATACAGAAATTGAGTTGACATGAAAAAAGGAAGCAAATTAGCAGCATACCTAGCCTGAGCTAGTAAATCTAGTCATGAAGGGAAGCACCTGAAGGTAATATTGGCTAGATTCCAATGTTCCAGATCCCCTAGGTTCTGAAAGTATTCTATAAAAAAAGAATCTGATCCAGCATTGTTTCCCAGAGGAGCTCTGAATGAAGTTTTTCTTCAGAGAGAAACCTTGGCATATTTAGTGAGGTGTGGGCACTAGAACAAAATATGACTGGAAAAGTTTCAATAGAGAACAGAGGGGAACACAATAATAGTGGGTAAGGAGACATAAGGTACAAGGGCAATGATTAACATTGAGAGGGTAGGGAGGATGCAATTTTAACAAAAGCAGAAATTTCAGTAAAAATGTTTGTCATATAGACTAACTGTTGGTAAAAAAACATGTAGGGAGAAAAAGCAATAATTAGAAAATGGATGTTGTAAAGGGGGAAAATAGAATTCCTCCACCTAATTATTTTTGTTCATTGAAAAATTAAAAGGTTTGAAGGTGGACGAAGTTTTTCCCCTTACAAAAGTGTTATACATGATGAGTTTTAGCATATGCTAGCTATTTGATGCAGCTATTATTGGAAGTACAATGATAAGCCTTTTCATTTTAAGAAAAAAAAAAGCATTTTCAAAGTTGAGAGAGGTGCTATATGTTAGTCATTTCCCCACAGGAAATAGGATTTCTTGTTTATTATCAGAATACAAAGCACCAATAGTATAAGTTTATATCTTTGCTAAGGAATACCTCTAGAACTGAAAGGTGAAATTCAGTGCTTACCATTCATAGTGGTCAAAAGAAGACCAACTACAGATGTGAAAAGCTTTCAAAAAGGGAACTGAATTCACCTTTAGCAACTAATTTCTCCTGGTCTATTGAAAACTCCTCAAAAATGTCTTAAAACATCCTTCCATTTATTATTTTTGCTCAAAGATTTCTATCCTGTAACTTTTCTCCTAAATCTCTAGTACTTTTCCTCTTCAGGGTAATAGGACTTTCTGGAAAGGGTCACCATGCTACCTCTAGAATAAGCATAAAAAAGTTAACAGTATATATCCAGTTTTATGTGTTTCAATTCTTAGACAAAGAACAAAGTTTTAATGAGAAGCTCTATTTGAAATTTATTTTATTCTTTCTAAGAGATACCTAAAAGAAGCATAATGGTACACTTAGCAAAATTTCCCAGTTATTCCTAAAGATAGAAAATCATAGGATGTGTTTACATCAACCAAAGGAACCAAATTTGCTCAACAAGTGATAAAGAAAAATTACAGCAAGCTGAATTAAATTATGCAAATTAAATTAGAATATAGTGAAAGTCATTGGATTTTACATTTTGGAAGGAATTTAGAGAATATCTAGTGGGGAAAAGACCTTGTTTGTTATTTAAATTTTACCTTTGAATTGAATTTTTCTATTTAATTCAGTATTTTGGACATATATATGAATATACACATACATTTATACACATATTTATATTATAAAAGATACATATATTTGTGTGTATGTGTATATATGTGTGTCTAAGATACCGTATATTCATTTATGTACAGATCTTGAATAACAGAAAATTTTTCTGAAAAGCAAACTTCCCCAGTCATGCTTTCATTAGAAAAATATGTCAAAACTTGTTGACTCAAGTCACCATTAAGAAGTAAGATTTATTCTTTACTTTTTTTTTAACAATGTACAAAGTAATTTGAAGTAAACTATAAAACTGATTTGAAGAGCACAAAGGAAGTCCATGCTAGAGTCAGTTATTATTCAGCGTTTCTTGTGTGGTGTTGATAGTAACAATAATGATAGTATTCCAAAAGTGCATAATTTCCTAAGGAGTTGTTTCTGACAAACTACAATCTTTTTTTTTAATGACAATTTTAAATTTATTTCTAATAGTTCATTGATATAACTTTAAAACTTATGATTGATTCAATAACTTTTTGAGTGAATTATCCAAACAATTTCAGAATGGTTTGGTAACTATTTATGAGAACACTTAACATTTAACATAACATTTAAATGGGAGGCTTCTTTCTTGAAAAAGAATCCTGATAGAAAATTAATTTCTCACCCATACACCAGTTATTTCAGAGTTTCTTCATGTTTTTGCATGTAGTGGACCCTTTTAATAATCTGGTTATGTTTATGGCTCTTTTCTCAGAATATTGTTCTTAAGAGCATAAATTTACAAAAGAAACCAAAAGTTGTTGAAAATAAATACGTAATTTGTTTACCATTCAAGTTCACAGACCCCTGAATTCTATCCTCAGACCATCCCCGCTGCCTTTGAGGTGAAGAATCTTCAGATTAAGAACTCCTGAGCTCTGTAAAAAACCTTAATCAAGACAAAAACAAAAGCAAAACAAAAACCCTGTTGTTTGCTTGTCTTTTGTCAAGTAGGCTTTTATGGTAAGAAAGCTAAAACACTTAACTATGTCATATTTAAGGAAGGTCATGTGCATCGTGACTTCCTATTGACAGCTGAGCCCTGCTGTCTTCTTTATTAGAAAGAAACTATTCACTATGAGCTTGCACAAACACTTCGAGGAAAGAGTCAGAGAAAATGAATAGAGGTTGATTTCTATAGCCAAACAAAGTGCTAGGGAGCTTGATGAGTATCATTTCTTCCCTCACCCAATGCCCTAGCCCAGAGGAGTGAAAAATAATAAGACAGTGCTATTTGGGGTTTGTGCTATGCCTTTTGTCCTAATAATATGAAACCAAATCTTCAGACTGTAGTTAAATAACTTGCTCAAGGCCAACCTCTTACTTCTTCCTAAGAACCTGCTTTCTATTTTTCAAATATAATTATTTTTCTTCCCTCTACCTCTTTTCTTCTCCTATCCATTTCAGGCAACAAATGGTCTCCCAGCCGTCAGCAGTTTTGTGTCAGCATCCAGCATGGCTCCTTATCCTACCCCAGCCCAAGTGCCACCTTATATGACATACAGTGCTGCTCCTTCTGGTTATGTTGCTGGACATGGTTGGCAGCATGCTGGCAGCACTCCACTTTCCCCCCACAACTGTGACATCCCAGCATCGCTGACATTCAAGGGCATGCAGACAGCCAGAGAAGGTAGTCACTCTGTTACAGCTTCTGCTCTCTGATATGAAGTTCAGTTTGGAACAACTTCATCCCAACCTGTTTCACTCCGCATCAGTCAGTCCTCTTCCTTCCCCCAAGGCCATACTACCCTATCCCTTCTATTCCCAAATCTTTCCCACTTCCTTTTCTAAATTCACATCCTTTGTGTTAATGACACGTAGATATTTCTCGGCCTAACTTCTCTTCTACAAAAAAGCTGAAATAATTTTAGGATTTAAATAACAGAAGCAACATTAAGGAATGGAGACATTTTCTATGGCCCACACAGAGTTTTTACTTGTGGAAGAAACCTGCATCCCTCAAAGGGCTCAAGAAACTTTTTTGATTTCATTGGTAAAACCACACGTGTATATTTATTCTAAATCAACCTGAACTTTTAAAATGTGCAATTTGTTGTTAAGGTTTGTGAAAATCAATAAAGGAAAATAAACATAGAAAAAAGTTATGTTATACCCTCTAATCAACCAAGGTGACTGAGTAAGCTTTGATTCACAATTTATCCACCTACAGAACAAATCAACAACCAACCTGTTTGAATGAACCAATTTATCTTGACAGATGACTTAATGAGGGTGCGAGTGGAATTGTATGTAGAACCAAGACAATATCTCAATTACTGTTCCTTCTGGTGTTTCAACCTGGTTCCAAAGGCATGATTGTTTATATTTTCTATCATTCTGTAAATATAGCTTCGGGTAGCACTTGTGTTTTTGTTTCTTGGTACTTTGCTATTCCTCTATGTCCCCACCAATCTTCATACATTTTAGAAGAAATTTTTTTTTAAAAAAAGTGATTTTCTGGCAATCTCTGACTTTGGTGGTGGGCTACTCAGGCACTGGGAATGTGGACTCCACACCCCACCAATTTTTATATATGCAGTGAAGGCTTCAACATCTCATGAAGGACATTTTCTTTGTACAGCAGAGGAATCAAAAGGCAAACAAGACAAGTCAGTTTCCCCTACTGTACCTTAACTGAACTACACACATGCCAAGCATAAAAAGGCAAGCAGGTGGAACATATCTGAACAACAACAAAAAACTATAGAGGAAGTCACTTAGAAGCTTAAGTTTAATGTGAAACAAAATGCAAAGACAATTTTTTACAATGAACTTAAGTTAAAAGAAAAACCACTGTGAAACAAAGTTGTACTTTTATTGTTGACTTACATGTATGTTCAGCAATTTCAGCTCAAAATTGTGTTGTAATTTAAAGAAAATGGAAAGTTCGGTTCTAATGAATGTAAAAATGGCTTGCTGTGAAGTTTACATTGTTGTACAGGAGCATGTTTCACTTACAGGTAAACTGGTGGTGGTACTAGACAAACAAATGTTACTTAATTTTTAACAAATTCCCTTTACTAATATCTGGATTCACAGAAAACTTTTAATTGCTAAATCATTCCATCTCAATTATATTCTGATTTAATGTTAATTACAGAAAATGTGTGTGTGTGTGTGTGTGTGTGTGTGTGTGTGTGTGTGTGTGTGTTTGTACATCTTAACTGCTTTCTTGGGCAAAATTCTACAGGATTTTTTTCTGTTCTGTTTAGAAACTTCTTCACATGCTTGAAAATGGAAGCATGGAAATGATTTGATATCTTTTTAAATTGGCAAAACTCATTTATTAGAATGCTAATATATTGTGGGGTTTTTTGACTTGTGCAATAACTAAAAGGGTATGTCACTAGATATGGATGTTAAAGATTACATTCATAAAATAGTTGTGATTTCTATATTTCTATGCTATACATAGCTTATATGGCAATTCAGTTCCTGCTACATCAATTTCATGGCCTCATCTGAAACTCAGATAACTAGATTAGCTAATTTTCAAATCATTCCCACAAAAACAATAAACAAACTCCCCACAAAAGTCATGACCAAGGAAGTCCTTTCCCACCCCTACCCCGTTCAAGCAGCTGTCTTGTAGCAGCCAAAGCAACCTAACTTCTATGCTATAAACAGGCTTATAACTTCAGGAGAACGAGTAAGCAATTGGAGCAGTTGAATTCTCAGGGCTTCCTTTGATCTTGTTAAACTCTTATTGACATCTAGGAGTTTCAAGTCTAGTGAAAAAGTAGACTATAAACCAAAAGAATGAGAGGTGCCAGTCCAATGTTTTGTGGACACTTTAAAAATTGTCCAAAGAGGGGCTTTTCTGCCTGTCAGAAAAAAAAAACTGACATAGTTAATATAATTAGAATTACCATTGTCAAATGTTTTGCAGAGTTTTCCAGGTAAATAACACTAATTGTTATTGGGCAGAAATGAAACCAAATATTTTTATTTCTTTTTTATCCTGTTTTCAAAAGTCTCTTGTTATTATGTTATTTATAATTAATTTCTTCTGGTTCTTGTATTTTTTTTAATATGGAAAACAAATTTTTTTTTTGTCTAAAGGTTTAACATCAGAGAGCTCACATGGTGTAAATTGAAAATGACAAAGCAAGCCCTAAACATTATTTGATATTGGAACTATCTCACAACTTGAAGTCACTCAAAAAACTAAAAAGTAAGGGCAATGCAGTGAAGTTTTTGTTTGATTATTTTTGTTCATTATCATTGATATATCCTCTCTGTTTCCCAGAGAGTAAAAGTATTCTTTTTAGACTGGCAGATATAATCTTTAGATATATTTTTCCACACTGTCCATAAGGAGAGGCTGACACTTCAGTTACATGGCCTTTATGCAGGCGAAGTCCTCTTTGATATAATTTGGAAACAGAACCTGTGTAGTTAAAATGCAATTGGATCTTATTGAAGGCACATTCTAATTTTTCTTTGCATTTCTGCTTTTAATTGTCCTTTTATTAAAAGATTGGGCTGAAATATAATTAAACATCATGTTGGAAAGGATGTACAACAGAAGGCTGTGTATGTATATAAGTATATTAAAAGCCTTTTATTTTTATATTTTGAATGCTCTAACTTAATAAAAATAATAATGACAATGTTATCTTTTAATTTAATTTTAAAAATGTTTCTAACAAAAATTTCCTCATGGTATTAGTTCACTTCGGTATAAGTGTTGTCTAGAAGGGGAAAATCTCTTTGCTGATTTAATCCATGCCATACATCTATAACAACAAGGTATTGTTATAGAATCTGATGCGCTTACATAAAAACCAAAGACATTTTTATTAGTACATGTTACTACAAGAATCTTTGGAAATGCTAAGAATGCTTACCTATTCTAAACATTTTCACCTTCATGATATATCATAGACAGAAGACTTCACACCTGAGCTATCATTCACGATTAATAATAAGGAATGTAATTTTGCTTTGTGCATTTTTCCTAATAATCACATAAAAATTATACAAAAAAACTGGACAATAAATAGTGGCTTTCATTTGTGATTTAGAATAAAACAGTTAGCAAGAAAGTATTTCTAAATAAGTATTCAAAAAAGGAGAGTTTATTGTATTAAATTTAATGTTTCCCAGTCAAGAATTTCTGACATAATGATTTGTAAACTTGGTCCACTTCAAACAAAGTTCAAAATAATATGATAACCAGTAAAATTTATATAGATATAATATATATATATATATATATATACATATGTGTGTGTGTATGTACACACATACATATATGATATATAATAGGAACATTCACATATTGCTATATTTATAGCATCATCCATTCAGATTAATTATTTGAAATAGTGAAAGTGTTAGTCAATGGAATAATTAAAACATTTCAAAATTAACTTTGGTATCACTATTTCAAAAATTTTCCTACAGTAAATGTTCATTTTCATGTGCTTAAAATATTTTCACAGTATTTTTAAAAATTAAAGTACCTATATAGAAATTTAATTATAGAATATTTAAACAAATTTAAAAATCCTTGTTTTTCATCTAAGCACTTGAGCACAGTTAAAATGGCAGCAAAATTGTTTAATTTTCTTGAACATATTTTTCTTTGACTTTGATAAAGTAATTATTGATATGGTAAAGATGAAATATGAATTGTGGCACCAAAATGTTATAGAATTCATTCAAGTTCCTATGAATGTGGTGTCTATATGAGTATTCTCCCATTCTGGTTACATATTTGCTCTAGATTACTTTTATCTCCATGTTCCAGATAATGTGATTGTAATTACAGTTTGAAATATATCCAGATACATATTTAAATAATTTCTAGATGTATTTGTTCTTTAGGAAAGTTGCTTTCTCCTTTACAATTTATCTGCCTGTCAACACTAATATTAGATTCTGCTCTGATCACTGTGTTATAGAGCAGATGTCCATTATCTCTAAAAAAACTTTCATAGGCAATCCTTACATCACCAGTTTTCCTGAAGCCAATGATACACATATTCATAAGCCAAAAGCATCAGTGCACCACCTGAAAAAGAAAAAAAAGATTATCATTATTCAATTCTTATGGTATCTGCAGTCTTTTCTTTCCTGTCTTCCAATGTCCTTCAATGCTCTGTTATACATGTATACATATACATGATATAATCATATATTATACCTTACATATGTTATCATAGAGGTCTCATAAAAATCAAGACCACATCAACTTTCAAGATTTTCCATCAGACTTTTCAAACCATTTTTAATTTTAAAGTGTAAATAGAAACATATTTAATCATGTTAAGACATGGCTTGAATGCAAACACATTTTTAGAATCTAAAACTACAATGCAAAAATGACTGATGCAGTTTAGAAGGATATTGTTTGACACTTTGTTTTTTAATCCTAAGATTTAGATAGAATGGAACAGAAACTACAAGGGAGGGGAGATGAGGGTTGGTTATTGATGATTCTGTATAAAATAATTCACAGACATGACAGATACATGAGTGTTTTGAAGGGTATACATTGTCTCTGATACTACTACAATAATCTGAGGTGCTCAATGCTGCGTTTACTTACACTCATGTAGAACTGTGTGAAAAGTTTCAGAAGCTTACACATATTTTGTACAGAATCTATATGACACTGGGGGAGGGGGAGAGAGATGAATGATTTACATTTTAGGGGAGAATAGAACTAGATGATCTGAGTTACTTTATGTGAACTGCCACAAATTTTTATAAAACTAAGGGCATATAACTATAAGCATATAAGCATGCTTCTGTAACCATATACATAAGATAATTTTCATTTTTAGCTTATGAATAATTTTTTTCTACTAGATTCCACTCAGCTGCAACATCCTCTTTCTAGTATCAGCAAATTGAAATGATCACATTTCAAAGGTTAGCAATCTGTAATCTTTTTCCTCTATTATAATTATATGTTCACAATGGTAGCCAAGAACATGCAGAATTAGATGGCTGAGATGATGTTAAGAGGTTAAAGTGCACGGGGCAGCTAGTTGGCCCTGGAATCAGGAGGACCTGAATTCAAATCCAGCCTCAGACAATTTACACTAGCTGTGCAACCCTGGGCAAGTCACTTAATGCCAATTGCCTCACAGAGAGAGAGAGAGAGAGAGAGAGAGACAGAGAGAGAGAGAGAGAGAGAGAGAGAGAGAGAGAGAGACAGAGAGAGAGAGAGAGAGACAGAGAGAGAGAGAGAGAGAGAGAGAGACAGACAGAGAGAGAGAGAGAGAGAGAGAGAGAGAGAGAGAGAGAGAGAGAGAGAAATTAAACTATGCACTACAACATACTTTCTTTTGGGAGAAGGACCAAGTCTCTTAGCTACACATCACCAATAATATTAAATTGGGAAGGAGTTGGATTGGACGCTTAAGCAGCATAGTAGTAAAGATAAACACTGCCCTAGGAATTAGATAGAAAGCCCAAATGTGAGTCCTGGTTTTTTTACTAAGTAGTTTCCCTGAAGTGGGATAAATCACTTACCTTTCTGGGCCTAATTTTCCTCATCTAGAAGATAAAGTTCTTCATCTAGGTAATCTTCATGAGCATTTTGGTGATTCTTTAACCTAGGAATACTCATGTAAATCCTATGTCCTTCCTCTCTCTTACTGGATTAGAATCTTTATCATTACCTCCAACATTGTTACCCCCAAACTTTCATACACAGCTCCCCCCCACAACCTATCATTTTAATTTTCTTTGAAATTGGTGAGGTTTGTATAATGCGAACAAAAGAGGTCAGACCTTTCAGTAGGTATTCAGTCATTTAAAATTTTATTTAGGCTGAATAGTAAGTTGTGAACAATCTTCATAACTAGTTTTAACACCATAGCAATTGTGAATATGTCATGGGAAAAAAATTCAAAAGCCAACTAAACATTTGCGAGCAAACTTGGGTTAAGAACATTTAAGAGTTTTGGATTAAGGTTCCACTCAATTACCACTTTAGCTAAACTCTCCCTGGTCACCACTGTCTTTAGGCCCTTTCCCTCCAGTAGAGACTATGATTTGTTCTAACATGAGGTCTTTTACAGGGTAGTGAAGGAAAATGTAGTGTACTTGCAAAGCAATTTTTAAAAAAATCAACATTCTTTACTACTGTGTTAGTGTATGGAGTAGTAGAAATAAAGCAGGTGGACCACTCCCGGCCCAAATCCATCTTCAAAAGACTGTTTGAAGAAAAGGTTCAAGGGATTTGGGGTGGGGGAGGGGAAGAGGCAGAGAAAGATCTTCCTAAATGGATGAAAATGCATCATGATTATTGATTACTGGCTTCTGGTCAGGTTTGAAAGTAGTGAAAAATCAGATTCATAAGTGGAGAGCCAAAGTTATTTCTCTTTTAACAGGGGTTATATGTTATAGGAAGAAGACAAGTTAAGAATAGAAGAGGGTATTGGAATAATTAATTTTATTACCAGGGTGGTTGAATAAATGAGTGTGGCCTGTTAGCTCATATGTGTGGTCTACTGCATACTTTTGCACTTATTCACAAGGTTACATATAATCCAGAGCTATTTGCCCAGGGTTGAATCCAGAGGAATAATATTATTGTCTATTTACATAGGGATAGCTGATTTTTCCTGTGAGATATAACCACGATTGTATGTATATGTGTGTGTGTGTGTGTGTGTATGTGTATGTGTACTTCACTCCTTAAGTAAAGAAAATCAACAGTTTTCACACAGGTGTTCCTATCTAAAGACAGAGGCAAAGAAAGGTCAGTATCAACTGAGAAAAATATGTAAAGTGCTTAACTTAAGGTGCTATATCATTATAAGGTGAATTATTATTATTTATTTTATATTATTTATTATTATTTTATAATACAATTATTATTATCATTATTATTATTTATACTATTTGTAGGAAACAGAATTCTCATCTTTCTTGGGTTTGCCTTTTTTCTAAAGTTATGGTGACAAACCATGCTTTGGCTTATGAAGCTTTCTTGCAAACAAAAGGAATACTTCTCTAAGGCAACCTGACATCTTTCCCTTTTCTCCCACCTCTTCATCCCAACATTTTAAATGATTTTTCTTTGAAAAAGGAGGCAAGGCAGGACCCAAGAATAAACTGGGAGCAGAAGGATTTTCTTGATGGGATGCTTGTTTTCTTACAGATTTTTCCTTCAGTATGATGTCACTATATGCCATAAGGTAGTCCAAGCTTGTGGGTTTTTCTGAGTTGTTTTTTTTTGTTTGTTTGTTTTGTTTTTCTTTTTTTTTATATTTACTTAACTTGGTGTTTGGCTTCTATCAGGATTTCAGCAAGGTTACAAATATTTCTTTTTAAAAGGTAGACAACTATCTTAAAGATTCATTAACAACTTTAAATCCTCAAGGTCTCTACTTTTTTTTGACTTGTTTTGGGGTGTGGGGGGAATTTTTATTGTGTTGGTGATAGATAAATTTTTTTAAAGACACTAAGAAAACAAAGAAGGAAGGATAGAAATAATGGAGACATCATTACCTGGTCCAAGTCTTATAATCTTGGGAAGCAAGCCTTTGTACAAAGCAAAAAACCTACAATCAGAAGGATTGAGAAACATTTTTATTCTGAAAACAAAATGGGATTGTTTCTAGATGCTAGCCCTGCACTTAAAAGTAATTATTTGAAATTACACATATCCAAAACCAGACAGTACCTACTTAAGTGGCCTATGCAGTCAATTGGATGAGGAGAAAGAGTTAATCAATGCTCCATTACCAAATCTTTCCTGATCCTGTCCAATCAGAAATATGCCTTTCATCAGTAAGATGGTTTTTCCTTTCAGGTAATGTCTTATTTTCAAGACAGCTGTTAGTTACATGGGCAAAATGACTTCTATAATTGAATTTTTAAACCCCCCAAGTCAATCCTCGCTTATGAGCAAAATGCAGCATAGTCAAAGCAAAAATGTTACTTTTTAGCTTGAGAGAGACATAAAAATTAGAAAGGCAGAGGAAAGGAAAGATGTCACAATACAAAGACATGATGAGCTCACACTTCTCATATTCACCCTCATAGAAGTATATAGTAAAGGTTATGTTTTAGTGGTTTTCAGTCAAAAATTTAAATTTTCTGGCCTTAGCTTTGAAAAAAATGCATTACTAAACATGATGTGAATTGACAAGTCAAAGTCTCATCTTGGGCCTCTCAGGCAAATATAGGCACTTGAGGTAAATGAAGCACACTGTTCTATGGTAGAACATAAACTTTGATAGTGTCAGAACCCTTTCTAAACAACAGAGAATTCTCTCACTTTACAGTAAGTTTCTCAGATGTTGCATAGAGCTCCTCAGATGCATGCACAAAGCAAAGGGCTTTATAGCCCTAATAAAAATGGAAGTAAAATACGCTTTTACAATAGTTGAGCAAAACCATAGGCTTTTGCCATTATTAAAATAGGAATGTTACCCTTCTTCCTGATAGATCGTTGCCATTGTTTTAAAACAGGTTATATACTTGATCTCTCCAGGAACTGGTTGTGGCCCTTGAATCCTACTTTTGGCAACATCAAAAGGAATGTTAATGATTGAAGCTGTTATGCCAGAGAGAAGACCGATCCCAAATTTTCTCCAAAACTCCAAGATTGGATTCTAAAAGAAAAGAAGAATTAACCAACAAAAAAGGAAACAAAAGCCCATAAGTATGTTTAACACCACAAAGGAATATGCACCTAAATGGAAAACTCATACTGCCCAACTTGAGTGCATACATGCTAGTCCAGAGGAACCCGTTAGGATTTCCTCGGCTGGAACTTGTTTTCTTGACAATCCCATTGGCTATGTTTTTACACATGGTCTAAATTGCTGAAGTACACATTTCCTCACACAGGATTTATAAACACAGTTCATAAAGAAAGACTGGCATGGCATATGGGGATGATTTGTATAATTGGGCTTCACAATGTACTTAGTATTACTGTATCAAAACAGGAGAAATCCAAGCGCACTATTAGCTAATTGGCCAGAATATTTTACAAATGACAGCAACTTCCACCATGAAGCCTACTAAAATGCTCATTTGTGTGTTGGACCCCCAAATGTTAAATTAAATAAAGGCTAATCTCAGTCTGCTGCTATTCCCCTCCAGGTTTTTTGCATTTATTTTCACGTGTAGCTGATCCACTGTACTAGGAAGTGCTAGCTTCCTGTTATTAACAAACCAACTTGGGACCACTGCAAAACAGCCTGTGACATTCTGTGCATTATAAACAGTAGTAGCAAGTCACTGAGGTAATTGGCTGAAGAATTTACAACACATTGTTTCTGAATCTACTCTTCCTTCATGGCAAGGAAAGAGAAGAGAAAAAAGAAAGAATAGAACAGAAAAAAAACCAAGAAAAAAGAAAACAAATGTTTAAAAAATTCTTCCTCTATTTGAATTTTGTTCTTTCAAATTGGTTTGATTTGATTTCCTTTAACTTGCTTCCCTCCCCTGGTATGCTTTCTGACATCAAAGTCCTTAATTAGGGCTTATGTGGGAGTCACTTTCCTTCAGACAAATTCTTAGCCTATTTTTATGCGCGGCAGAGCTCACATTAAGTTCCTTTATAATGAATTTGCTGGGAAGTTCTGATAAGTTTTTTAAGCCCTTGTTCTTGCACTGCAAGCTGGGTAACAATTTTTTTTCACAACCTGCCTTTCCTCTAAAGCAATGCATCATCAGTAAACAGAGAAACAAATAGAGTTATGCCGTGATATCACTCTATCCAACAGAAAGTCCTAAGACGGTAAAGTACTCCTGATTTCTACTTCAAAAACAAAACCAACCAAAAATAAAAAGTTTAGCCATTTCATGTTTCCAGTATCTATAAAGGAGGATAACATCTGTGTGCTCTAAAAAATTCATTTAAACCAATATTCCTACCCTATGAAAATTCCTAAGTGACTAGGAATATAAAATGTGAAAGATTCTGTAAGACTTCTTGGACCTGGGCCATACAGGTGCCTTATAGATTTAGAGGGATTTTAGAACCAACAGGGTGTTTCAACAGCAAAAACAATGCACTGATTGCAGCATGGGTGAAATGTGCTTAAAATCATGTCTTTTCTTTTATAAGAAGAGAAAAATGCTCTCCTACTACCATTTTAATATTTTGGCAGTATGATGTAGTCAAAAAAGTACTAGACTTGGAATCAGAAGGCCTGTGTTTGAGTTTCAGTTCTGTGGCTTACTTACTGTGTGACCTTGAGCAAAGCACAAGGTCTCTGAAGCTCAGTTTGCTTCTCTTTAAAATACCTAAATACCTACTCTGCCTACTTCCTAGGGTTATTGTGCGGATTAACTAAGATAACAGATATGAAATTGCTTTCAAAATTTTTTAAAATATCCATTATACTAAAATATTTTGTGTAGTTATCCTTCAACAATATTGTTTTGTAACTATGAATTTTGTAACATTATATTAGCATTGGTCTTGCAAGAATGCTAAAGTATATTTCAAACAGTCTCATAGCATTTGTGTGACATTATAATAGCCTAACATTCATATGGCGCTAGAAGAGATGGCAGAGTGAGATGAATAGAGTTCTGGACTTGGAGCAGAGTAATACAATGGACAGAACATTGGGCCTGGAATCAGAATGCCTAGGTTCAAATCTCATCTCTGATGCTTACTCTCTATGTGATTCTAAGTCAGTCATTAACAACTAAACCATCAAAAAACTCATTACCTAGAAATAAAATTAATGAAAACTTATATTTGCAGTTATACTTTATAGTTACAAAGCTCTACACTTCAGTCACATAATAACCTTTGAAAGATATAGCTTAAATATCATTATTCCCATTTTACAGATAAGATTTGCATATTTGTTCATGATGCTTTTTTAATTAAAAAATATTTTGTTTCAGCCAGCCTTTTCACCTTCCCACACCAAACACTTCACCCTACTTGAAAACACAAGAAAAAAACATTTATAATCAATCAAAATAAATTTCCACATTGGTTATATCCAAAAAAAATACCATAATTTTTCATCCATTCCCCAATTTATAGGTACCTCCCAGATTGCCATTCTTTGACATCTCAAAAAGAGTTGTAAGTAGATTTGTATATCCCTAGTGTTTTTGTTTGTTTGTTTGTTTGTTTGTTTTTCTTAGCACTTAGCACAAGGAAATAGGACGGAAAGAGGAAAAGAGAAGAGGAAGAGGAGGAAGAGAATTTAGAGGGAGGAAAGAATAAGGGTGGTAATGGAGATGAGGGATGCCAAGGCCAGAGGAACTAAGGACCACTGTATCTTTATTGTGTATGCTGTTGTGTTGGGACAAAGCAAACCTTCCTTTGTCAATGAATTACAAATGCCTCATTTCATCCTAATATTGAACTTCAACTAAGAGGGAACTGGGGTTAGAGCATCTACAGCAGCTTTTTAATTGGCTGCTAAATCACTTGCGCTCCTGATTGTGGCTTCTCGGTATCTGAATTCTTTCTGGCTGCTTGCAGTATTTTTCTTTGACCTGAAGCTCTGGATTTTGGCTATGATGTTCCTGGGAGTTTTCATTGTGAAGTTTCCTTCGTGAGGTGACCACTGGATTCTATTTCCACTTTGTCTTCTGGTTCTAAGAGACCTAGGCAATTTTCTTTTAAGATTTCTTGAAATATGATGTCTAGGTTATTTTTTTGGTCATGGCATTCAGATAGTTCAATTATTCTTAATTTTTTTCGTCTTGATCTGTTTTCCAGGATGGTTGTTTTTGCTCTGATATATCTTGATAGGGTAGGGTAGCCATACTTCTGAAGAGAGGACTGGGCTGGTCTTGTTGCTGTTTTCTTGGGGTCTTGAGTGTTGTGTAATTCCAGGCTCTTAGGGACATGTTAGGAACCTCCAAATGGTCTGATTTAGGGTAAAGTCTGATTGTTACTCCCCTGTTCTGAGGTCTGCAAATTCCTGGACTGTGTTTGGGCCAGTGCAAGAACAGACTGCTGGACTCAGCCCCTGTCAGCCAGCTCAAAAGCTCTGTGGATTCACAGCCACATAACTGTAGGCTCCCCTTTGAGCTGTGATTCCTACCTCAGTTATTTCTTTGTAAGCTAGGCTAGATGCTTTAAGTAAGATCCTGGGTTCTGAATCATACTGCTACTGCTGCTTGCTTCTAGACCTCCTTCTTTCTCAGTTCACCATCTGTGGCCTCCCTACACAGGAACTCTACCCCTCTAAGCAGGTCCTCTTTTCAGTCTGCCCTGAATTTGTGACCTGCTACTAGGTAGTGGGTGACAAAGCTGCCAGCTGGCACCTGTTTGAGACCTCTTCTTGCCCTGGTATGAAGTCTCTCCCTGGGTGTTGGAGTATTTCCATCGTGCTTTGGGATAACCCCATCCCCAGTGTGGATAGACTTCCCTATCTGTCTCCCTATGCTGAATTTGTTTTTGAGATCACAATCATTTCCTGTTATGTACCACTCTCGTCCCCACTCCCACCCCTAAAGAACACTCCTGTATTAAAAAGAAAAAAAAGTTACAACCAGATAGACATAATGATCAGTCTATGAAAGTGTGCCACATTTGACATCCATAACCTGCCTTGAGAAGAGGGAGGCTATAAAATATTTTCAGACAGCATCATAGTAAGATTAGGTACATCAGTCAATAAACACTTGTTAAGTGCCTACTATGTGCCAGAAAAGGAATCAGATTGTCTAGAGAATCATTCCTATGGTGATAGTAGGAGTTTGGAGAAGGAGATAATTTATTTTTAGAAAGCCTAGAAAAGGGCTTCAACCTCTAGGTCACTAACAGTCATTCCAAAAGTTATGTTTTTTTTCACTTATTACCTATTACTTAATTTGTTAACATGGCATATCTAGGTCTGTGACCCAGAATTAAGATGGTTTTGTAAACTTTGTTGTTGTTGAGTTGTTTCAGTAACGTCTGACTCTATATGACCCTATTTGGGGTTTTCCTGGCAACTCTTAGTGGAGTGGTTTGCCATTTCCTTCTCCAGCTCATTTTACAGATGAAGAAACTGAGACAATCAGGGTTAAGTGACTTATCCGATGTCACACAGTGTCTGAGGCCAAATTTGGACTCAGGAAGATGACTCCTGACTCCCAACCCCACATTCCATCCATTGTTCCACCTAGCTACCCAAATATTTTTATATACTTGCCAAATATGCTCCACCTCAAGTTGGGCATATGTCAAGGGAAATGAAGATAAGACTTGATTTCTTATCACTTTTCCTCTCAAAACTAATAATCTTCTCTGGAAATGAACATACACACATTAAGTTAGAGGGAAGTATCTAGTGAAATGCTCTCAGCCTTTAGCTGTTCTTGGCTTTCTGCTCATCGACATTTTTATCAATAACTTTAATAAGGGCATAGATAGTATACTTATCGAATTTGAAGATAACACAAAGTAGAGAGATATCACAATAGATGAAAGTGTCAGGATACAAAAACAGATATCAATAGACTCAGCTGCCCAGTATTGGGCAGGTATGAGTAGTGAATATTTGGCATTAAAAAATGTGGGGCTTTTAGTCAAATGTGTGACCAAAAAAAAGCTAATGTGATCTGAGGCTAAATTAATAGAGTTATGGAAGTAGGTTTTTGTCTTGCTATACCCTGGGTTGGTTAGAATACATGTTCT